GCATATCCATCTGGAAACCCTTGAAGTAATTTTGGGAAGGGGCGAAAATACTGGTTAGCTGATTGGCCTATGTTGGTGATAGACGGGCCAAATAAACCAATCAGATCAACGAAGCATATGACGTACTAACAGAGCTACGACGAAAACACAACCACAAGCCAGGCTACTCTTGCCGAAGCCAGTCGGGAGAAGAGCAAAAACATCTTTTCCTCTGAGAAAAGCCTCCAGAGCAGTGTTTTGCTCTTCTTTCAGTGAAGAAATACTCTGTAATTCCGATAAAACTTGCTCGATAGCCACGCTAACGCTAGTTTCATCGGCTGAAGCCGCCATGTTCTTTAGACTGAACTGTCGCGCTTCTCGTTGCGTCACACACAACCCGCCTCAAAGCCAACGCTGATTGGACGTTCGTTTGGTGAACGGCTCCAAATTTTCTCCAGAGAGTCTCCAGACTGATCTGCGAGTGAAACCTTGAAAGCTCGCGAGATCAGGATGGTCTCACAAGGCTACAGAATTGGTAAACAGATGCACAAATCGGCCGATACAAGGCAAGAAAAAACAATTATATTAGGCCAAAAATACTTGTTTGACCTCCTTCATCTGTTTATAGTGAGCTAACGTAGTTAGCATTATTAGTGGGGGATCTTTGAGGCTTTTTTTGAATTGTGGATCAGCTCACAGAACATTTCCAGATCCGTCATTGAGTGTAACCGAAGGACCGGACAGACGAACGCAGCCTTAGCAGCACCGTCTGATGGAAATCTCGCTTCTTTTCATTAAGTTTGTCTGGTTTTATCTTCCGACTTGATTTTAAACTCACTGCTCATCCTGAACCTAACCAGCTTTTAATTCTTCTCACATTCTTTCTCAACAAGGTCGTTGTAACCGTCACAGACGTAAATTCAGGGTTGGGGACGGTTACAGCCTTTGCTTCCCAAACATAGATGCTTTGAATTCCTGTTTTCTATCCGTGGAAGTGAGCCTGCCTTAGCGCAGCACACTGACAGTATTTGAAAACACCGGCAGTCAGGGACTGATGTTGTCTCCAGAGACAAAGAGAGCTTCTCTGCTGAGAAGACCTTGGCCTGGTTAGCAGGAGTCCCACAGATAGAGCTTTAACTGCACACTAAACACACAGATACTCCCGTTCCCATAAAGGCCTCTCTGGTATTCATGCGAGCACAAAGAGAAAACCCCCACAGGGATCAATAAAGCGGCACATCATTCCTCTTTATTGTTGGCATAATGGAGAGAATATGAAAGAGAACCTGTGTGGTTTGGTTCCCTTGGAGTGGACGGCGGTTTCCTGCTGCTTTCCTCACATTAAATGGCTTTTTGTGGAGGAGACGGCAGAGCGGCCTGAGCGCCTCACTCAACCTTCTCTTTACCCCTCTAACCACAAACATTAAAGATTCTCATCATAGAACTACATCCTGGTTAAGTCTCCAATTTTCTGCAGGATGTTTTAATTCTACGCATTTATTGAAGAATAAAAATCTACTTTCATATGTTTAGTAATGAAGTGAGAAACCATGTCAGAAGCTCAGTCATTACACTCTCACAAGTACAAAAGCCCCTGTCACACATTGCTGATCTATCCGGCATATGCCTGACGCCCCAGAATCTTCTAAAACGCTGGCAGACGCTGAAAGTTCTATGTACTTTTTCAATTTTAGCCGTATACTTAGAGTAGGATTGGGAATCGATAAGATTTACACGATTCCGATTCTCTTATCGATTCTGTGAAACGATTCCAGCTACCAGTAGTTCTAATTAAACATACTAGCAATGAAGGGCTGGATTAACGAGAAAGGAAAAATCCCTTAATAACTTCAAAGAGAGGTAGGAACAGTGGCGGCTGGTGAAAAATATTTTTGGTGGGGCTGATATAGCCTAGTATATGTCTCCAACTAATCCAGAATAAGAATTCAAATAAACAATTGGACAATAAATACAATTTAACAGTAATGATTTAATTTACTATATAATAACAGTAACAGTGATGATTTGGGTCACTGTGACGGGGTTCTTTGGCCTCCAAGAACCCAGGCTCAGTCGGGTTACTGGTGTAGGTGATTTATTGTGCTCAAAAACTCAAAACAGGGTGCAAAAGAAACTAAACATATGAAAGATACTCTGGGCCTCAGCCTCCCTCCAGTTACCAGCAATGTAACAAAGAAATAGAAAACAAAAATGGCCGCTCCTCTTCCAACAGCCCTCATTAAATAGTTTAAGCCCCTCCCCTCAGGCTCTCTTACGGAAGAGGATTAGGGCCACTGGAAAAAAAAAATAAAAAATGATTTTTAAATTTTATTTCAGTTTAACATAGGGAAAAAAGTCAGAATTCTGACTTTAATCTCAGAATTCTGACTTTTTTCTCAGAATTCTGACTTTTTTCTCAGAGATTAAAGTCAGAATTCTGAGATTAACAAGTAACCACATTAAGCACAGCCACTGATAAAACTAGCTACTTACCACCAGAGTTGCCTTCCATGCTGGTCGTAACTTTAGCTTCTGTCTGGAAGCATCAAAAACACAGCATTCATTAAAATGTATGCCATGTTGTGTGCGCAGGTGTTTCTGCATGTTGGATGTATTTCTTCTCGCGGATGTAATCGCCACTTTGCAATGATTGTCACGTCGTACTTGCTTACTGAATGCCATGTGCGTAACTTGCGTAAAAAAAAAAACGTTTCGTAAGTCATGCCGCCCAGCGCTAGGCTCTGGTGCTGCATGGAATCGTTAAGCAAGCTGCCAGACGGTGCCATGGAATTGAAACACACGGAACCGGTTCAGAACAGCAACCAGTTTTTGATTCCCATCCCTAACATAGAGTATTCATAACGAGTCCAGAACTTATGTCCAACTGATGCCTAACTCATGCATAATACACAGCAGCATAATGCCCATGAAATGATGCACAAGCCAGTGTCCTGAGGGGAGCAGCGATGCGCCTGGAGGCGCCCAGCCTGCATAAAAAGATGTCTTTAATCGTGGCATTAACCTAACTGCTGTCTACCTCCAGCCCAAAAAAAAAGAAAGAAGGTTTGCAGTTGCAGCAGATTCAGCATCATGTCTGCTAGGAAGTTTGTTGGCTGTGGGCGTGAACGCAGGGAGGATCCGTCACACTCAACTTCTGACTCAGATAACTTGCCTGTAACTTATGGCCCACGTATGAGCATACGCCGGCATACGCCAAGAAATTAGCTACAAAATTCTTGATGTACTCGCCCTATGTCGATGTGTGCAATCATAACTTACATAAAACGTATCCAACGTATGCCATCATACGGGGGATACTATTCTTCAGCAAGGATTTAGGGGCTGGGAAGGTTGATGAAGGTGAATCCAGGACAGTCCTGGAGGAAAACCTGTGGAGCTGCGTTTACCCTGAACGCCGCTTGTTCTTTACTGTCCACCTGGTGATGGTCGTTTAAAGGCCCTGGTCCACAGGGACCCCTTTCCTGCATGTTTTAAGTGTTTCCTTGCATCACATCGATATTGGTTATCGGCTACATGAATTTTAAAATATCGGATATCGGCCAAAATCCCAATATCGTGCATGGTAAATGGTAAATGGTATGTACTTATATAGCGCCTTTATTCAAGTTAGGAGACCTGACCAAAGCGCTTTACACTACATTCATTCACCCATTCACACACACACTCACACACTGATGGTGGCAAGCTACATTGTAGCCACAGCTGCCCTGGGGCTCACTGACAGAAGCGAGGCTGCCGTACACTGGCGCCACCGGGCCCTCTGACCACCATCAGTAGACAATGCAGGTGAAGTGTCTTGCCCAAGGACACAACGACAATGAAAGTCGGAGTCGGGGCTTGAACCGTCAACCCTTCGATTACAGGGCAAACTCCCACATCCAACGCCACTGTATCTCTACAATATCGTGCATCCCTAATGTCTGCCAATAGGACTAGATCTCCGTTGTGTTCATTTTCAATCATCTCGTCGTCCATACTACTATGCTAACGCCACTGCCACCAAGCTGCAATGATTTGCCGCGAATGAATACCGCCGAATCTGTCGATTCATCTTGTAGTGGTGCGTCTAATGCAACGTAGATTCCCATCCCATTAGATTGAATTTGGTATTGATGACGTGAAAAATAATAACGGTAACTCCATTGAAATGATTCAAAACTAAAGTAACGAGCCAATTTTTTAAAATGTAAGGAGTAGAAAGTACAGATATTTGTGTAAAAATGTAAGGAGTAGAAGTAAAAAGTCGCCATAAAAATAAGTAGTAAAGTAAAAATATCAGAAAAATCTACTTGAGTACAGTAACGAAGTATTTGTACTTCGTTACTTCCCATCTCTGACTCCAGCCCGGTACTTATGGGAGTAACGGTTTCAGTATTAAATGCCATGAACACCTCTGTGCGGCACTTGAATAAACATCCTCTCTCATGCTGGTCATCGGGTCACCAAACCTTTGCTCTCCTGCCTCCTCATCAGACCCGATGTTCTGCTGGTTCAGCTGGATCTGTGGTTCTGGTACAGACTTATGTCACAGCCGACAGAACGGACCGGTTCCCTTGGAGATGGTGTTGGCTCCTGGTTGGCTGGTTGAGCCGCCTCCTCTGCCTCAGTGCAGCACAGAGGGCCATTGTTCTGTGTTTACTAGGATTTTGGATATCTGTGTTTGCATTATTGATCAGTTTGTCAGTTTTTTATTGGGCCTGAATGTGAGAGAGAATAAAACTGAATGGGTGAAAACAGATGAGAGGCGGCAGTCAGAATAGGATTCCAGTATAACTGTGTTATCCACCCAGTCCCAGACTGGTAATGGGAATCATGCATGCAGCCTCAGAGGACATACTGTGACTAATATCAGCTTTTTCATTCTCCTCAGTTTTTCTGTCTCCGGACAGAAATGCTGAAAACATCCTTTAGTAGCAGAAAAATGGATCTGATGAAAAGTTTCCCGTGAAGTTAATAAATGTCATGTTGTTCCTAACCACTTAACACTCCCTGCGTTTCAGGAACCATCCGTCCCGTCCGGAGGACTTTTTATGACCCGGCCTCCGCCCCGGGTCAGGGCTGGCAGTGGGAGTGGGAGAACGACGCGGGAACGTGGACGCCGTACGACGTGGAGGTGGCCATCGCCATCGAGAGCGCACACAGCCGCCAGCAGACCTGGCTGGACCTGACGCCGCTCGGGTTCTGCTACCTCATCGACTTCAAGAACATGACGCAGGTCTGTTTAACAGAGGAGTTCTGGGGTCTAAAAGGTTCTAAAAGCGGTGTGGGAAACAGGCCCAGATCTCTGTTTGGACCCAAGTTCTAGAGGTCGCTAATAGACCAGAATTATTACCGTCACTTTTCCTTCCACCAAATTTTCCATAGATGTATTATAGGATAGAAAGCTGGGTGGACACTCAGCCTCTTACTACTGACCTGTGTTCTGGACATCCGTTCCATTAGCGGCTCAACCAGTGATACTTACTGTTGGACCAGAACCTCCAAAGTTTCTGGTTCTTTTAGAGCCTCACTGTTTTAATCAGCTGTAATTATTTAACTAAATTATTCTATAAATAATTTGACCTTGTTTCATGATGAAAATTCTGTTTTGATCCACATTCTGACTGATCCCGTTTGGTTCGACCCGCAGGTGAACAGGCAGAGCCAGAGGTGCCGTAGGATCCAGCGGCGTGCAGACATAGCGTACCCGCTGGTGTCCGGTCCACTTCCTGTCCCCAAAGGAGGAGGCGTCGGTGGAGGGGGGGGCCTAACCGGAGCGTTGCTGGGGGTCGGGGTGTCCGGAGCCAGCATGGGGGTGGGCAGCTCCGTCACCTCCAACGGAGGCCTGCAGGTCCTGGGCCTGGGCCAGCCCTGTTCCTGCCAGCAGTGCATGCTGGTCCTGAGCGTGAAGAGCAATGCGGGCGGGGCGGGGGGCGGCGCCGCAGCCATTCAGACTCTGAGCCGGCGAGCTTTAACCATGCAGCGGCCCAAGAACTCTGCGGCTCCCGCGGTCAGATCCCTGAGCCCGTCCAAATCTGCCACGCTGGGGCGGGGCCTCCAGCAGAACCCCGCCTACTACCAGACGCTGCCGCACGGCCTCGCCATCACCAAAAACACCGCCTCGCCTCGGAGGAACGCCCAGCTCTTCGCCCAGTCGCTGGCCGCTCTCACTGCCGGTACCTCCTCCATGGGCCTCTCCGTGTCTTCCAGCAGACCCCCCCCTCCGTCTCTGCCGCCGCCGCAGCCTCCCTGCAACCAGAACCCACCGTCCATCCCGCCCAAGCTCTCCGCCTCCACCTCTTCATCCAACGCCAACGACTCAGTGCCGACCGCCACATTGATCACCCCTGCCAGCAGCGTGACCACGCCCCCCTCCCCGGTGCCGTCTCCGTCGCCCGTGGTGATGAAGCCGCAGCGTTCCGCATCCACAACAGTGTGCCACGCCCCCTTACCGCAGCGGTCCAGTCTGGCCGGGTTGAGCAGGCCGGCGCTGCAGAGGATCGCCATGGCCCAGTCCAGATCGCTCATAGCATCAGGGTGAGTGCAGAACCCACAACGCTGCAGGTTCTAACATGTAGATCCGCTCTGCAGAACAGGGCGGGTCCAGACAGGCTGGTTAAAGCTGTCAGTTAGCGTCCTGGAAAAGCTCCAGTTTAGTCTGTAAACAGCTGCAGGTTGGTTGCTGAATATACGTCACTGATTTACCGGATCGCTCTCTGCGTCAGTGGGTGGAGTTTCATGACGGGCTTGAACTCAGAACTCAGAGGAGCAATGCCTTAACCACTAAGGGCTGGTTTTCCTCCTGCAGCAGCTTGTTGCAGATATTGAAGCGTGGTCTGTGCTATGTTATTCCACGCCACAAACCAAGAGGGACAATCAGGAGCTAGCTGTGGGTCTAGATATGTTCAGAGTAACAGCAGTTGTTAGATCTCACCGCAGGCTGAGAGGTTGGTTCTACAGAACCGCTGGTCTCGGAGGACTTAAAGACCAGTTAGGTTTCCTGCTCCACTGAGGGCCCCACAGGGTACTGTGATGATTTGGCTTCTGAATCGACTTTAGGTTCTGTTTGCAGTGTAGTTTAGAAACAGATCTAATAGTAAATCTGTGTATGTCCTGATATGAAAGAACATCATTGATCGGTCCTGATGCAAAGGGAAGATCTATTCAGTCTGATTCTATGTTAAATTAAGGCTTTGTTGGGCTACTGTATAAAGCCTTGAACTCAACGCCATTCCTGACATTTTAAGTTGTCAAAGCTTCCTTTGTGGGAAGAGAAACATCTTCAAACTTGGAAACAAAGTCCAGTAAATTGTTGTTAACTTTTTTGGAACGGTAAATGAAGATCAACTGAGCTTCCTTTTTATCTGACTGTGATATCAGAATCCTGACAGCTGGAGGTTGAATCTGTCCTGTTTTTTCCTGTGTTTATGATAGGGGTGTGCAAAATAATCGTCATGATGATGCATCGTGATTCTAATTTTCGTGATCTACTGCATCGATTCTTGATGCCAAGTATCGATTATTAATTTAAAAAAATTAATAAATAAAATTGCATGAATGGTTGGCGAACATCAGCCAAAAACATGTGTAATACAACTTCCAGTCCAGTAGATGTCGCTGCGGATGTGTTGACGCACGCTGCCTTGTGTCACAAGCATTTCCGGCCGCGGGATACTGCGCCGAGTCATTCAAAAACAAAACATAGAGGAGAAAATATTGCAATGCATCGCATTATTTCAAGTATCGTGATGCACCGTGATAGAATCGCATCGTGGCCTATGAATTAGGGGTGGGTATTGGCAAAGAAGTCACGATTCGATTCGAATCACGATTCACATGCCACGATGCGATTCTATCACGATGCATCACGATACTTGAAATATTGCGATGCATTGCAATATTTTCACTGAACACTGTAGTAAAAGGATACAGCCCTTACCAGTGGCTGACTGGCTGGGTATGATCTGGATAGTGTCTTCAATTGATACATAACTGAAAGCAACCGAATTCATACATAGCTGTATTTATTGAAATGACTTTTGGAGGTGTTGCCATTACTGGACAGAAATATTACTATTACCGGCGTGGACACACTGACAAAAAGATCTTAGGATTCATCAAACTTAAAATAACAAAATAAGGATAATCAGTGCCGTTTACATGGCCTCAGTGGTCCTTCAAACCAATGAAACGAAAACATTAAAATGTTTCAACTTGAAAACTGAAATGATAAAAAAAAAAAAAAAAAAATTTTTTTTTTTTTTTTTTTAATAATCGATTCTTGCCTTCAAGAATCGATGCAGTAGATCACAACAATTAGAATCGCGATGCATCGATATGACGATTATTTTGCACACCCCTACTATGAATCATGATTCGAATCGAATCGTGACTTTGGCAATACCTACCCCTAGTTTATGACTATGTTCTGATCTTCCACTGTGTAAATGTTCACAGATATAACTGCTGGTGGAGATAATGATGAGAACATTAAAGCAAACTGAGCTTTGCTAGCAGAAACATATCAAAATCAGCAGAGATTCAACTATTACATTAGATTCAACTTTGTTATTACACATGTACAGGTACAAGGTAATGAAATGCAGTTTAGGTCAAACCAGAAGTGCAATAGCAGCAAGTGCAGGATAAATACTGGTTCCATAAATACAGGACATGGGTTTCTACTGAATGAATACTTTATAAATAATGAATATAATATATAGATCACTAGTGTTATCAACTAAATTTACAGCTGGATATGTACAGAATATAATATACCGATGGATATTACAATAAAATGAATTTAAAACAGTTTGGAGAAGCTTTCTAAATTAATTGGATCAGAGAGGAAAATAATCTGGATCAGTTTATCTCTGGTTCTGCAGGTTCACCTCAGATCTTATCATCGGCTCTACTTCCTTTGCCCCCCACCCACTCAGTGAGTGGGTGGTTTTCCCCTTTCTAGAGAAATGCCACTGTGGTCGGGTCAGAACCAACTGAAAGTTCTCTCAGATTGTCGCTGGGTGTAGATTTTATTTTCTATCAGGGGGCCTCCTCCTCCTGCCAGGGCCCCTCAGAGCCCCTCAGAGCCCCATTGTTGGTCTCCACAGTAACCTTTGTTGGGTCGGCCAAGCCTGGGACACATTAGCAGCACAATGCTGAGGCTCGGCTGCTCTTCACGTCTTTCCGCGTTCCTCTGCTCCCCCTCCCCCTCCTCCTCCTCTCAGCCTGCTTCATTTTCTCTCCGTATTCCTCCTTTTCCCATCTGCCGTTGTTCAAACATGTGTTTATTGATCCTCATTCACTGGTTTCGCCTCCTCTGTGAACCAGGTGGACAGTTCGAATTAATGGAGGATTTCTCCTGATCAGATAGAATCACACACCTCACTATTCGGAGTTAAAGGTCGTGGTGGAGCTCGTTATCACTTTGCTGCACAGAACTTGGCAGAATTGGTGGAGTTCCTTTAGTCCAGTTTTTCTTTGGGTGGGGGTCAGAGCCGGGTATCGCTGAGCTCTAAAACGTATTTATTCAGAGCCGCAAAAAACACGACCCTTCAAAATAAAATAGTTTTTATATAATCTAAAGGAAAATTAGTCTTTTTTCGGTTTTATAACCTTCAACGTTTGTTAAAATTGAAATACGTTTTGGATAATCTTGCAACCAAAATGGGATCATCTGCTCCCGTCTGCTTCCTGTTCACAGCAAACCTCCAGTGAACCCATGCAGACCTCTGCTGCCGTTTCTGTTGCAGCTGTTGTCTGACTCCTCCATGTCGACATGTTCCAACTCCTCTTCTTCTACTATTCAGTGCGTGCTGCTGTCAGGCCCGGACACGCATTCACGCCGTAAGCCAACTGCTCCGGGGTCCAGATAAAACATGTCCAGACCGGCGTCTGTATCTACGCCAATGAGCGGTTCTCTGGTTGTTGGCTTCATAGCGACTGGGTCTCTTATGTCATAGTTTGGTCCAGAACCATCAGATTTAAAGGTCCACTTTGTTTAGGCTCTGCTGCTGACCCAGATTAACCCAGGCGTCCCGCAGCCTTCAGCATGGAGGTGAATCATTCCAGAGTTAGAGAGCAGACAGTGTTCCTGCTCTGCTGTGCAGCAATTCCTCCTGGCAGTGGGGCGGGGGGTCAAATACATGGATATAAATAAACGTAGGAGACGACCTCCGACTCAGAGCCTTAGAGTGGGGCAGGGGGGGCAGAGGACAAAGAAACGAGTCAGCAGACTGTCATACATTGATCACGACTTGGTGCAAGAAATCAGGCCAACTGCACACAGACGGAGACACCCCCCCACACACCCCAACACACACATGACTGTGAAGGCATGTAGCACACATTGTCCTCCCCTCACACACGCTAGAAGTAAATATTGGCAGAGGGGACGTGAAGTGAAGGATGTGAGATTTGAGGGGGATGCTGAGAACGAGACAAAGAGATGAGGAGGTGGAGGGAGGGGTGCAGGAGTAGGGGGGGAGTGGTGGGGGGAGGGGGTCCTTGAGTCTGCGAGCAGCGGCAATGTGCCGTGAGAACGCAGCAACACCTGTTAGTTCAGCAACAGATTTCTGTGTGAGGCCTGTAGGGGGAGCTGTTGCTGGAGTTCTGTCAGATGAACATACCCATAGTCAATATCCATTTATCCCTTTAGTTTTTATGAAAAATAAACTTTAAAATACCTCACAGGCCTATATCCCTTTAGTTATGTACAAAAAAAAAACAATTTAATTACTTACTTTTTGGTGTTTTTTTAAGCGTATGGCGAGCTGACCTTAAATTGTTTTGTTTTGGGACATGAACAAAGGGATACATGCCTGTTGAGGTAGTTTAAAGTCTATTTTTCGTACAAAACTAAAGGGATAAACGCAAATCTGACGTCTTCAGCATGAGTATTGACTAGGGATGCACAATATTGGGATTTTGGCCGATATCCGATATGCCGATATTTTAAAACTCATGTAGCCGATAATCGATACCGATGTTAAAGCTGGACAAAAATAAGTAGTCATTGAAAATAGCAGTTTTGTTATCCATTTCTGACACTTTGAAAAATAATATACTCAAAAATATTTTCATATGCTGATATCAGATAGATTTTTAAAAACGCGGTATCGATCTATTTTACTTTCAAAATCTCGTGAAATTTCATCGTTCTGTTACAAACTCTCGTGATATTTTGCAAATTCTTGTGAGATTTTGTTAGTAAAATAGATCGATACCGCGTCAATATATCAACATATAAAAATATGGCAAAATTTCATGAATTTTCGGGGGATTTCGTAGCATAACGATGACATATAGCTATATTTCATTAGTAAAAGAGATTGATATGGTGTTTTTAAATGGCAATATATCAGCATATGAAGATATTGTGATATTTTAATGTATCAATATTTTTTCCCTCGTCTTTAGAAGTTTTTAAGTCCGTAAAGAAGTTTTTGAGGAAGAAGAATAAGTAGTATTTTATTTTATTTTTTAGACTTTAGAAACTCAGAAGCTGATCAAATATCGGGTTAAATATGGGTGGGGTG